CCCCACTTCCCCCCCCCCAAACACACACACACACACCCTGCCCGCGTCAGCCTACCTGCTCATTCCGATCACGGGCGTCATCCTGGGCAGCAGCAACCTTATAGGCTACTTCAAGTGCTCAAAGGAGGCTAAGAAGCAGCTGCAGAACATGGGCTCCAACCTTGTCAGTGCGGCCATGACCAACCGCCTGCAGGCTGCCTTTGCACGCGTGGTGTGATGCGTTGAGCGGAGTGTCTCAACAAGCGGGTGACCTTGCTAGTTGTTGCTGCTGCCTTGTTGTAAAGTCACCCTTATTGGAAAGCTCCACTTGACTTGTTTACCGGTGTGCTCCACTGGCCGGCTGGATGGTGAATACGGGGCTTTCTTGTGATGCAGTATCAATTACACGATTGGGAAATGATATTCTGGCAAGCAATACGCACAGCATTTCTGATGCAAGTGGTCAAGGTCAGACGTGTTGATGCACAATGAAAGCGGTGATTGGTGTGGTTGATGATTTGTTACCACATTTGCAGCTGCTAGACGCATGAAGAGACAGCCGCTGCGATGGCACTACAGCCCATCGCCCTAGCCTCAAAGGGTGCACCGGTGGGCAGGGCAGGCAAGCATGCGAATATCCCACATCGTATGACGTGCAGGGTGGCATGCACCCCCCACCAACAATGTCGCCGGCAAGGCCCCCCCCTCCCCCCGCCAAACCGGCCAGCGGTGCAGCAAGACACAACACGCGCAAGACACCGGCCAGAAAGAAATCGGTGCAAGCAGTGTGCAAGCAAATGGAGGGTCGACTCCCCACCCGCTGGTTGTTACCCAAGGGTGAAGTGCGCCAGTCCACACATTCCGTTCGGCCCCGCCACGCAGGGACAACACTACTGACCCTCCCCGTCCGACTGCAAATCCTCCCAATAACCAGCCCAAAACGCATTGTACTAATGCATTCAGGCGACGAACCGGCTCTGCACAACCGGCAGGCCCACCGCAGGGCAGGGACAATCGGCTGCGGTACTAGTGGTGGTTGAGGTCACTGCTAATACTATGTATCTAGTAAAAGTTCAGGAAATATGATGCGTGCATCTATTTGCCTCAACTTCCCAAAAGTATTTCCAGCTTTGCTACGGCATACATTCATTTCCTCCCAGGACGCATCATCATTCCACCCTTGGCATCGTACCTACTGTATTGGTCAAATGTTGACTGCTCAGCAACTGCTGGTTATCTGCTGCGGTGCTCAAAGTAAAGTGATGTTCAGTACAGTTGCAGTGGGTAACAACACCTATGATGCAGTCCGGACAGCATCGCCATGTGCAAAGCATAAACCTACTGGCAACTGGATGAATAACGCACCCTCATGTATGAGGCATGCATGCTTGCCAAAGCAGCTGGGGGCGACGCACCCGCATCTTGGAGCCAAGCCGCGCAGCCTCATCAGTCTCTTGAAACAGACACCTGAGCCGTACGGCAGCGGGGTGATCGATCGCGGCTTTTGAGGTCTCCAGGTGTTGATCAACCCGGCAGTCCTGCTACAGTAGGCCGTGGGCCATGTCGTGGCCTTGCATTGTCGCGCCGGCCAGGTATGCACACGCAGCGGAGCTCAGCGCATTGCTGCTGTTGGCGTCGGCGATGTGGTCCACGCACTCCGTGGCATCAAGCACCCTTCCTTGGATGGACGAGCTGACCTCGAGCTTGCGACATGTGGACAAGGTTGCTGCTGGACAAGGTTGCTGCATCCATGCAGGGTCGCTATCACGTTTGACATGCATAGTCCGACAGTTGACCGTCGATTTCGTCAACAAAGAGCTGCGGGGGACCGACTGTTCCGTCATTCGGTATCGCACCCGCCCCAATTATCCCTAGGCACCCATGTAAATTCGTGAGAATCTCAATCTAATGATTGCAGAGCCAAGGCAGGTGGCTGGAGCCTCGTGAATCCTCTGGGCTTGGAAAGTTTCGCATAGCATAACGCTTTGCAGGTGTGTAGGTGCCGAGACTGCTATGTACCTGAATTGCAGGGCCCGTGAGAGGGTGCCTGCGGACTGCGAAGGCGCTGAAGCTGCCATTGCCCCGCCTGGCGCCAACCCATATCTGATCACCGCCTGGCAGCCCACCAAAGGTCACGGCCCCCAGCCAAAACCCTTTCGCACGGTCACACATTCTCCATATGCAGAAATGCCGTTTTAGTCCAATGCGGCGGCGAGGGCAGTGGCAGGGCGAGCGGCGCCTGTCGCGGGGACAGCTGCCGTTTTCGCCTCGCAGCCCGCAGCCCAGGCTCGCGAGCTGCACCAGGCCGGCCCCTCCTCATCGCTGTCCCAGATTGCACGCATACAAGTGAGGAGGTGGCAAAATGTATATATGAGGCTCTGCGGCGCTCACCTCTCTCTTTGTCAATCCCGCTGCGGCGCCAGCGGCTGCTCCCAAGGTTTCATTTTGCGAGGCTCGACGCGACCCCGCTGGCCTCTCACGGCGCGTGGGAGCGCCCGCCACACGTGCGCAGCCGCCCCACGTCAATCATCCCAGTGCCTGGTGCCGCGGCTTGGCTCGCACCGCACTAGGATGACTTTGAGGTGGTCGACTCTGTGGTCGACTCTGAGGGCGCCAGGCCGAGTTGCAGCAGGTCGCTCTTCACAGGCAACGAGATCACCCAAGCTGTCCAGGACCTCAGGTGCGCGGCGCCCGCACCAGATCATCACAACAAAGCTGCGCGCGGCAGATGGGGGGAAGGCTGATGCTCCTGGCGGCCTGGGCGAGAGTGGCGCCGGCTGCGCCGCCACGGCCACCGCCCGTTCGGCTGTGTCAACCAGCCGTGGCTTCAAGCACTGCCGGGGTGCATGCGCCTTTCAGATAAACGCACCCAATTATGCGCCCTTGCCAAGACAGTGTCTGTCACCATGCCGTATAAACTGTTTGGCCCGCGACCGGTGGTACCACCCTTGGTGCACAGGGCCATATTTGGCAGTGAGGATGAGCCCGAGACAGACACCCGTGAGGGCGCCATGGCCGACGCCGTCATCGAGGCGACGCCCTTCGGACTGCCCGCGTCCGTCGTGCCGCGGCCGGCCCTGGTCGACATGGGCATGCGGGAGCTGCGGGAGGTTGTAATGCAGCCCGCGCTGCAGATCGCAGAGCGCGCGGTGAGCGGGGAAGGTGGCGCAGGCGGCATGTGTGGCTGCGGAGCCAGCCAAGCCTCCAGGCATCGGTATCTATCTGCCA